ATAACCACCCTGTGAAGTCGGTTCTGTTTTATTGCTTATTATTTGCCAATTTTTGTGGTCTCCCTTTTATCAGTGACTATATGGTGCCAAAACAACAACTTATAACAGTGTAATAATAACATCATAATGTTTATAATTTACCTTGGAGTTTAATTTATTGTCTTTTTTTCCCTCTTCTGTAAGAGTATTATGATTAAGTGCTTTGCGTGCTTAATATATTAAAAAAAATAGGACTATTTAATAGGACTATTCATTTTCATCTATACCTTTTTTTTGCCTTAATGGATGCCTAATGTTATTTTTATTTTCCTTTTTTCTAGAATATTTTCCTGTCTTCTTCCTCTTCCCCTTCTGCCTCCCCCATCTCTCAGCAAACTCTCCTTCTTGCAGTTCACGCTAACTGAAGGATCTTCACACACCAGCTCCCACTACCTGGCAAGCTCTTGTTTCCCTTTGTTACCAGATGAATTCTTACTTATTCTTCCCATCTGTGCAGAACTGTCACTTCTCAAATGAGCCTCCCTTGACTCCACGCTCATTTGGATCTCTTCTCATAGTCTCTCATCATGGAAGCTACTTTCCTTTTAAAACCCTGCCACCATTTATTACTCTGTATTTACTGCTGTGATTACAGGAGCCTGTAGATTCATGAAGGCGAGGGTTGTTTCCATGTCTGCCTAGGCTTGGTACTTCATTCTAATAATGATCTGTTCATAACAAGTAGTGAAGAGACAAGTGCACGTTTAGTATCGGTTTTATTCCTGGCTTGTTTTTAGGTGCATTTCTGTGCAATTACTCTTTCCTTTTTTCTTTTTAATTTGGCAAGTCATTGCTGTTTTGGTGTCCTCGTAAAAGGAATACATGCTCGTTCTAGAAAATACCTCCTCACTGACCTGTTTAGTCTTTTTTTTTTTTTTTTCTCTGTGAGCTATTGACAACTTTTGAGGACTAGGGTAGAGAAAGAAATAAACGAATATAAATAACTAATAAAGTAAAACAGGTAAGAGTTGCCTGCTTCCACATTTGTCTGTTATGGAAATTACATTTCCCTTTTCATTGCGTTTGCACAGGGAAGATACAAAGTTGTTTGAGCAACAGGCATCAGATGTGGGGAGCTACACAGAGCGGCTGTTTTTACTTCTTTATAGGGTGATGTGAACCTTGCTGGAAGTGAGGAGCTTTGTCATTTTAGGCTTATTGCTTCTGTAGGTTTTGCATAAATAAAATGGTTTAAACCAATGGAACAAGTAGCAACTAACAAAATGAGCAAAAATGAATTCCAACTGAAATTTGAAAAGAACTAATTTGAAGAGGAAACCAATCTTCGAGTCAAAGGGAATAGTATGGAATACATGAATGTTTACATTGCTGAGAGATACTCTGCTTTACTCCACTGGGAAAAATGTCTTGATTTTCTCTCCCACGCCCTCTGGGAGACCAGTAGAACTTTCTAGTTAATAGTTACAATGCATCTCACTTAAAAGGAAGATAGCTGAGTCCCTTTAGCCCCAAATCTAAAGTAGTCCCTACCAAGCCATGGAGAAAAGTTCCCAGCCCTAAATTTCACCAAATACGCATGACTTGCGGTGCTGGTATCTCATCAAAACCAAGCTCTAGCTAAGAATTCATTGTAGATACAACCGCTTTTAGCCTCAGATATAGAGACTCTCACTGAATGTTTACAAAATGTTAGTGTGTCATTTCTTTCATTATAACTTCCTGGCTTCCAAACAATGCTGAATTTGCAATCATCTTTCAAAGGCCCGAATTATACAGTGTTCTTAAAGTTGACAAAATAATTCGGATTTTCATTTCAGCAACTTTATCTACTAGGAGAAGTGAAACAGTTCTACTGGACATGACATGTCCTAAGAAACATTTTTTTCTAGGTTGAATTGTTTTTAGTAAAATGAGAGCTGCAACTGATACAAGTAAGTATCTGAGTTTAAAAGATAATTTTATGATGGGAGTAGCAGATGGCATAATGGTTATGTCACTGGACTTCCACATGACTGTGGTTCAAGTCCTGGACCCAGTCGCTTGAAACTCCTACCAGGTGTGTGCGCATGTGTGCCCAAAATCCTGAGAGGAGAGTGGAGTAGAAGTGATTGCACTGTGGCCATCCCTCCAGGGGGTAATTGCTTGCTTTCTGTCTCTCTGGCAAGCACATGCATCCTATAGCAAAAATCTCTCTTAAAAATATATAATTTTATGGGAACCAGCAGTTAGCGTAATGGCTATGTTGCTGGACTCCCATGTAGTCGACCATGGTTCGCGTCCCAGACCCGGTGGCTTAAAACTCACGCCGGGCGCGTGTGCGGGTGTACAAGATCCTGAGAGGAGAATGGAGGAGAAGGGATTGCGGCGTGGCCATCCCCCCTGGGGGGTGATTTCTCACTTTCTGTCTCTCTGTCTCTCTCTGTCTGTCTGTCTGGCGAGCGCACACGTCCTATAGCGAAAACCTCTCAAAAAATATATATAATTTTATAAATTAAAAATAGTAGTCAAATGGGACCAGCAGTTAGTGTAATGGCTATGTCGCTGGACTCCCACGTAGTCGACTGCAGTTCAAGTCCCAGACCCGGAGGCTTAAAATCATGCCGGGCGCGTGTGCGTGCGTGCCCAAGATCCTGAGAGGAGAATGGAGGAGAAGGGATTGTGGCGTGGCCATCCCCCTGGGGGGTGATTTATTGCTTTTTGTCTCTCTGTCTTTCTCTGTCTTTCTGGCGAGCATGCGTGCCCTATAGCAAAAACCTCTCCAAAAAAAAAAAAAAATAGTCAACTAGCATATAATTTTCTCTCTTACTTGAGTATTATTTATTAAAACAATACCCCTCTGACCACTGTGACTTTTTAGTAAAGAGGTTCCTAAGAACCGTGGTTCCTGACATTTACTAATGAATGATAGTAGCAAATTCATTAAGAATTTTTTTTTCAAGATTTTTTTTTTGGTGGGGCATGCACACTCACTGGAGAGAGACAGAGCCAAAAAAAGAGGGAAAGTGAGAAATCACCTCTCAGGTGTATGTTCACACTACAATCCCTTCTCCTCCATTCTTAGGATTCTGGGCATGCACACACATGTGCCTAGTGCTTTTTTTCAGGTCACCAGGTCTGGGACTCGAACCTCAGAGGTAACCATATGGGATCTAGCACCTTAACCACCATACCACCTGCTGGCCCTGTTTCATCAAGAATTTAGATTACTTGTTCAGTTTATAAAAATACTCAAATCAAATTTAAAAATTTAAAACAATTCATTAATCATATATAAGAAAACTGAGGTTTATTGTGTCTTAAAACTATTTATAGTAATCAAACATTTTATTAGTCATGAATCATGATTTATTTAAAATGTTTTCACTTTCAGCTCAATACAGGTCAACAAAGCGTTACTGACTTTGTCTCTGACCTTTAGAGCTATTCAGCGTAAGGCGTTGCTTTACATTTTGTCTTATCAGGTAATTGGCAGCTCGGCAAAGTCACTGAGTAAGCTGTCAAGGCCTGATCGGTTATTAGCAACAAAATGGTGTTGACGTGGACAAATATGTGAAAAAGAGTGTCTGTATCTTTCATTATAAAAAAGCAATGCTACCAGAGCCAGTAGGTGGTGTGGTAGGTAAGGCGCTGGGCATTCCCACATGATTGACCAGGTTTGAGTTCCAGACCTGCTTGCTTGCTGTCTCATTTTCTCTCTCTCTCTCTCTGTGTGCCTCACTCTGATCAAATTAAAATAAATGAATGAATAAATAAATTTAAATAATTTTTTTTAAAGAAAATGCTACCAACAGCATTTCTGTGTCTTGAGATTTGAAGGTCTCTGTATAATCTCCAGCCTCGACACCCATATATACATGGAGAGGGACACACACGCAGTGATGACAGTAAGACAAGTCCCAGTCATTCAATGTTGACCACACAGAGAGATACCTTAGGCTGACCAGTCCTACTTACCATTCAAAACCTTTGGAAAAGAACAGCATAAAAATATTAGATTTGGGCCTAATGGTCATGTGGTTAAGGCAGCTGAATCCAACCTGGCTGACTGCATGGCTAGAGTCCCAGACCTTATGACTTTTAAAATATGTTGAGCACGCATGTGCACGTGTGCGTGTGTGTGTGTGTGTGTGTGTGTGTGCCTAAACTCTTGAAAGGAGAGAGAGATGGAGGAGAAGGGATTGTGGCATGACCAACCCCCATGGGAAATGCTTTCTAATTCTTTCTTCCCCACCCCCTACTCCCCCACCCCCATTTCCAGCAAGTATGCATGCCCTCTGAGGGGAAAAAAAAAAAAACTTTAAATTCAGCATGTTACTCTTTACAATGAATCTCTAATGGTCAGATTCCCTCTTATTCCCTTTTACCATCAAACTTCACACCTGAATACCTGGGATAGCATGATCCTTGTAAGCCTCTGCTTTATCTTGTAAAATGACAAGGTTGGGCATATACATTTCTAGATTCATTTGATTTTATGATATTCATGTTTTGTAATGAATACATGCTGTTTCGCTTCTGTTCAGGTAAGTGCAGCCATAAAGTTAAGTTGGTCAACTGGAGTCACACCAGTCTGGGTGTGAATTCTAGCTCTGCCTATTATCAAAGTGTGTGCTTGAATTTGGGTGTCATTTAACCACTTGGGTCCCAGTTGTCGTATTTATAAAATGAGCTAGTGGTCCCTACCTCTCAATTTTGCTCTGAGTATTAAATGAGACCAAGGGTGAATGTGCTTAGCTGAGTAACCAACAAAGATTGTTACTACAAAGTGGAAAAAATGACTGAGCATCTGCATCCAGGAAAATACCAAGACAGCAAGAGTCTTCTCCACCTTTGTATTTTCCCTGTATACTACCCCATTATTATTTTGAAGGTCTGTGTACAAAATAGACCTCACATAAGAGAACATTTAGAATTCTAATTTTAAATAAAATTTAAATTTTAATAAAGTTTGAAATTTAAAATGTTAAAAATGACAATGTAAATAAATCAATATATTGCAGGCAATGAAGACACTCACATTCACATAACTTCTTTGCAACAAATAAAAACTGTGACGGAGCAAGTGATGCCAAGTGCAGAAAATGCTGCACACCCCCAGGCAGCCAGAACTGAGGTGTCGGCACCACCAGGAGCCTCAACACAGCGTCAAGTGCCTGTGCTGATGGGACCCCAAGAACCATCCTTTCAGTCGGGAATCCTGAGAACAATGTCCCGGCGAGATGTCCGAGCGGAGATATTTCTGTGGAGCTTTGTGCTTTGGTCTGACACGGTAGAAATGGTGCGTGTGGCTGGCCATCCAGCTGTGTACAAGTCGGGCTGGCTGTATCCGGTCTACTTATTCAGTTTTATCTCTCTCCTTCGAATTATCTTCACACCCCAGAACCCTCTTCTCAACTCCTTGGGCATCTTACTGCAGGATTTACCCTTTATTTTTGTCAGACTTTCTTTAATCATTGCCCTGGGGACTATCACGCCCGTGCTGGGCCTTTGTAAGAATATTCTAGTGACTCTTTCTTATGTTTACTTCAATTATGTAACCAGACTCAGGGTTTTCTCTACTTTTGAAACATCTCCATTTTAAAAGGAAAATGAAACATAGTAAAGACTTCATTATGTATGTGAGCACATATGTAATAATTTGGGGGGGGGACATAAGTTTTTGTATTATATTAAGAAATGAGGAATGGATTGTAAAGAGTTAAGTGTTTTAAATAACTGTATCATAGCTGGATTTTTTTGTGAATATGAATGGTGCTAAATTTAAAGTTATATTTCTATACATTGGCTTCCATGGATCTCTAGAAAATGTTAGCTATGTATCCTATAGGTCTTTTAGTGAAGAAGTACACCCTCTTCAATGAAGCCTTTTGAAAAAGAATGTGTTTTCCCACTAAATTAGCCCAAGAATGAGATTATCATTTACACACATTAAAGAGTATTACATTGGAATCAGCAGTTAGCATAATGGCTATGTTGCCGGACTCCCATGTAGTCAATCATGGTTCGAGTCCTGGACTCGGTGGCTTAAACTCACTTCAGGTGCATACGCATGCGTGCCCAAGATCCCCAGAGGAGAATGAAGGAGAAGGGATTGTGGTGTGGCCATCCCCTCCCCCCCGGGGGGGTGATTTTTTGCTTTCTGTCTCTCTTTCACTCTCTGTCTTTCTTGTGAGCGCACGTGCCCTATAGCAAGAAACTCTAAAAAAAAAAAAAAAAAAGGAGTATTACATCAATTAATTTAGTAACATTAGTTTTTAGGAAACACCTGCAGTTATTGAATAATTTTTAGATTATACTTTTAAAAAATTTGAAAATTGTAATCCTAAGGTCTTCTTTTAACATAGTTTTATGTTCTTTATTCTCCTGTAGAAGTCTTTCAGCATCAAAACCAATTCACTTTAACAGATATTTGTCTCATTTGAAGGCTTCGCTGTTTTGCCAATACTGCAACACTGACATACACTAACAAATGTTTGCTATCATGAAGTCAAGGTACATAGGTAAAACCTAGATAAAGTTTTATATTAGGAAGCCATGAAGCGAGGAAGTTGATTTCAAAGTCAAAGAATATGTTATTTGTGGAATTTGATACCATCATAAAAATAATCAAGTACAAGCCCTATTTAAAAGTACAAGTTCACTTGGCAAGTATATTAACAAGTGTATCAGTGTCTTATATGATACTCTATCATGAATATCTTGAAGTTATAAAGCAATTAAATACATAACCATGTCATTTGCCATTACCACATTGAACACTGTCTCATATTCACGGCAGGGACTGGCCATTGTATAAGGACTTTCAGGTGCTCGGGAGATTTGAGAGGGGCCTGTGTGTGCAGAGTAAGGGTTTCTACAATCAGTGTCTTCAATGATCTGTGATAACCATTAGCTGAGAATGGGTACCTGGCCCTGCGCAGTACCCTGCTGTCTAACAGAATCTTCCAATTCACTTTCCCCTGTGTTCTATGATTTTTCTCTCACTCCAAGAGGAGGTCTACTCAGTTATTAAAAGTTCACCTGCTGGCTTTATGATTTGGGGTAAATCCCTAACCACAGTGGGCCCAGTTTCCACATCTACAATATGAACACAATTCTAGTACTCCTTTAACAGAGCTGAGAGGATTAAAGGATAAAGAATCTTCTCAACACACTATCTGATAAATAACAGTAATTTGACAAGCATTAAGTTTTTTCTGCCTGTTTCTTTTCTTTTCTTTCCTTTTTTTTTTAAGTTTTTGCCTTAGGGTATGTGTATTGGCCAGAGAGAGACAGAGAAAGGGAAAGTGAGAAATCACCCCCCTGGCGAGATGACCATCTTTTTCCTACATTCTCTTCTTGGGATTCTGAGTAGACATGCATACCCACTTGGTCTGATTTTTAAGCCACCAGGTCCGGGATTTGAACCACAGCTGGCCATGTGGGAGTCCAGTACCTTAATGACTACGCCACCTCTGGCCCATGCGCTAAGTATTTTAATGCTATCAAGTCCTCAAGAAACAAGTAACGTTTTAATTTTCCTGTTTTATTCTTTTCTGCATCTTTGCTTACCCTCTGGGAGTAACAACTTAAACCTCGCATTTGTGTAAAATCATACTTGACACCTTAAGGTTACCTCAGAGTATAATTTTTCATCAAGTAGTGTGTTCAAAAGTGAACAATCTCCTGAAGATACAGATTAAAATAGATGCAAGGACCCAGTCATCATTTTGTATGTAAGCTCTCTTGGAACCCACATTACAGCATCTCATTAAGCGCTTTATTATGTACTTGACTTTTGGAGCTCCTCATTAGCCTTTACATTCCTCTGTTCTAAAGTGTACTTATTTTATTTCTTCCATGAGAGACAGGGGAAGGGAGAGGGAGAAAGAGAGCCCAGGACTCCCAACAGGGTCTTCACCCCCAGCCTTAGCCAGCCAGGATCCTGAGCGTACCCGGCCTTGGGATGTGCCAGCAGGCCTTAGGATGCGAACCTGGGACCTTCCCATGTGAGTTCAGCCATAGAGCGTTGCATCACTTTATCCACTGCTCACCACCGTCAGTTCACCTTCAAGTTTCTTAAAGGAAAGCCTGAGAATATCTAGTTAAAGTGGACCAGCAGGTGGTGTTGTGGTTAAGGTGCGGGACACTCCCATATGGCTGACCATGCTTTGAGTCCTGGACCTGGTGGCTTGCTTTCTCACTTTCTCTCTTTCTCTGGTCAAATTAAAAATAAATGAATGAATCAATAAATGCTTCTTTAAAAAAAGAATATCTAGTTTAACAATACATTTTTATCGTCATCTCTTAATCCTGCAGGCACTTATATTACTTATATCTTAAGAAATTTTATCACAGCTAATTTCTTTCAAATAATACAATGACAATTTTTTAATAAAGCAAAGCCTGTCAACAAGTGATTAATGTGTAATATTCCCGAATATAAAATATTTTACATACATTTATATTTGTCTTTAGATGGGAATTTATAGAGAAATCAGTGTTTAGATAAGTTCAAAAATATCACTTGCGTTTAGAATGCCTTTTGTATCTAATATTTGAAAATGAAAGTGCCTGATGTTTTGGCAAGTTGCAACACTTCATATAAACAATGAAGGCAAATACAAGGATTTTCTATATGAGGATAATTATTTAGTACTTAATTTGATTGAGTAGACACATGATATCAAGTTCAAGTCTATGGTATTTAATAGACATTATAGCAAATTATGCTGATAAAATATTGATAGTTCTACATTGTTTAATTAAAGTTATGTTATTAAAATTATATTGTAATTCTCATAGCTTTCAGTGGTTGTTGGTACTAACACCCATATAACTTTTGTGTTCCCAATAAAAAAATAATTTTTCAGGGGACCAGCAGTTAGCATAATGGCTATGTCTCTGGACTTCCATGTAGTCCACCGTGGTTCGAGTCCCGGACCTGGTGGCTTAAACTCACACCAGGCTCGCGCGTGTGTGTGTGTGCCCAAGATCCCGAGAGAAGAATGGAGGAGAAGGGATTGCTGCGTGGCCACCCCCCTTGGGGGGTGATTTCTCGCTTTCTGTCTCTCTGTCTCTGTCTGCCTTTCTGGTGAGCACACGCTCCCTATAACAAAAATCTCTTCCCCCCCAAAAAAAAGTTAATTTTTCTGCTATGTGAAAGTATACATGCAAAAATAGCACATGCTATTTTATTTCAAGTGAAATTTAGAGCCTAACTATAATTATGTCTTTATTAAATGTCAAGTTTAAATAATGTTAATTGTTGAAAGAAATACATTTAAAAATTCATCTATGATCAAACGATTGTACAGTTTAAAAATTTTTTAATAAAATGTTTAATATTTTTAATAGACTTTGGGGTGACTTTTCTTTATAAAAGTTGCTATTTCCTATTACAGTGTGTGAAAATTGTGGTCTTGGTTTTCTTGTAAGGGCCCCATTTCACTGAGTGGCTCTCACGTTAAGTCACAAGAAAGGAAAGAGAAATGAGATAGCTTGTCGGATGCCTATGCCATGCTAGACCCTGTGCAGTTGGATTGACAAAACTTTTTAAAATACTTACTGCGTTTTCTATTTACATTTAATGACTGTCCAGCATACACAATGATTTTTCCCAGTGTAGATACGTGTTAGCCAAGTCATAGGTACTACCACGTACATGATTATCAACACTTTCATTTTGGCCTAACAAATCTTTTGCAGTACAACTTGGAGCAGGATTTTACTTAGTAAATATGTCAATAGCTTTTCTGTGTCATATTGAATTAAATTTACAAAATGAATAATGTCCCTCTTAGAAGCTGTAAGTACTTAAAAATAGCTACGTATACACCATAAAGGATATACTAAATATTAAAAGAAAAAGATTATTAAGTATATGTATCTGAAACCACTTTATTTTACAAAGTGGACATACTCACATATAAGTTAAAATTCTATGTTGAAATCATCTTTTTACTGCGATGTGTTTAACTATGGGAAGATATATTTACTTAATTTTTAGCTTACTGGATACTCAGTTACTCACCTTGTAGGCTTTTTGGTAATCTAATCCAAGTACACAAACAGCAGAGTCAGGAGGTGAGAAAAATAGAGATACAAAGAAACATGTCCACCTGCATGCACACAAACATTGAGAACCAAACCCATCTGCATTAAAAAATGGATTTCAGATCCTTAAATGGGACGAGTTCATGAACCGTAAATCCCATTCCTCCATGTGTTTGTCAAGATGGCCTTGTGTGATTGTCATAGCCCAGGGAAGAGCACCTTTTCAGGGTGAACAGTGCACAACCTGCACATCCCAAAGGAAACAAAGCATGGCCAACCCCCCCTGGGGGGGTGATTTCTCACTTTCTGTCTCTCTGTCTCTGTCTCTCTGTCTGTCTGGCAAGCGCATGTGCCCTATCGCAAAAATCTCTCCATAAAAACAAAATAAAATAAAAAAGGCACTGGACTTCTACTTGGCCAGTCATGGTTTGAGTCCTAGACATGGCTTGCTTTCTCACTTTCCTTTTCTCTTTCTTTATCCCTCTCTGGTGAGCACACATGACCTATAGTAAATGTAAAATAATAATAAACAAAAATAATTCTTTACAAAAAGACTTAGTTCATATGGCTTAGAGAATAAGACGTTCCAAAATATTGAGTAAATAAATATGACATTGGCATTCTTAATTGCTCAAAACGAATATAATGGCTTTGCATAGTTGGTGGAATTCTGAAGAACAAGTTAAGCGTGTTTGTGTCTTGACTCCCATCTCTAAAGGTAGGGCACTTTCAGGTTGTAAGTACATTTTCAGTCTGATTCTTAAAATTCTGTTCAAAATATCGAATGGGTCAGATCGCCTTCTAATTAAGTTACCTTGTAAAATTAAAGAATGGTATTTAAAAATGCATATCATACCAAACCAAATGAAGCAAAGCAATGCTGATAGAACTATCAAATTCATAGCCTCTGCTGCATACATACAATGTAGATTACTGTAGATCTAAATATACTACTTGAAGATATTACAATTAAAGTAAAATTCTAGATAAATAACCCAATATGAAGAAATTTGAATGCTATAATATAATTTTTCTTATTAAGTTGCAAATGCCTTATTGATGTTTTGCTGCATTTTTGTAAGAATTGAAATAAAAACATAAAAAGATAGCATGCCAATCTTGCAAAGTTTTACATTTTTACACAATCGCCTCATTACATCTTTCTTTTTGAGAGAGAGATTTTGCTGTAGGGCATGTGCGCTCACCAGAGAGAAACAGAGAAAGAGAAAGTGAGAAATCACCTCCCCAGGGGGATGGGCTGGCACAATCCCTTCTCCTCCGTTCTCCTCTTGGGATTTCAGGTACGCTTGCACATGCACCCAGCTTGAGTTGTAAGTTGCTGAGTCTGGGACTGGAATTGCATTTGGCCGTACCTTAGCCACTACGCCAGCAATTTAGCCACTACGCCCCCTGCTGGCCCATACATTTTTTTTTTTTTTTTTTTTTTTTTTTTTTTTTTAAAAAGCTGAGTAGGTATTTTCTTGCTATGCTTTGAGCAAAATTTCAATATAGCCTTACTTTAAACAATGACAGACATCTGAATGTATCACCAGTTTCTTCTGAGAAATGATGTAAGAGGTTACCAAAGAATTCATTGAGCTCATTTTCTCGGAACTGTTTCAGAGGAAATCAGTCACTAAGTTCATCTTACATGGAATTGAGGGGATGTGAGGTGGCCAATGTTTGGGAAAGAGAAAGTCTAAGAGGAAATGAAATATTTCAGTAAGTATCTTGCCAATTAAAAAAAATAAATGAGGATTTTTCTCTCTGTTTCAGCCTGAAGGAATGACTAGTTAAAAACAACCACCATCATCAATAGGTAACCAAAAACCAGAACCAAAACTTAGTAGAAAGTTATAAAGAGATGGGAAAAATTGAGTTTTTAAAATTATGGTAAAAGGAGAAGGCAGTTGGCATGATGGTTAAGATGCTGGACTCCTACATGGTTGACTAAGGTTTGAGTCCCAAACCTGGCGGCTTGCTTTCTCACCATCTCTGTCTCTGTCTCTCTTTGGTGAATGCATGTGCCCTACAGCAAATGAAAATAATAATAATAAAATCAAATAATTCTTTAAAAAATAAATTGTGGTAAAATATATAAATCATAAAATTTACCTTTTACCTTTGTAACCATTTTTAACTATACTGTTCAGTGGCTTTAAATATATTCACGATGTTGCTTATCATTGCCATCAATTTCCAGAATTGTGTATCACCTCTTATTAGTGGAATCACACAATATTTGTCCCTTCGTGTCTAGCTTATTTCATGTAGCATACCATTTAAAGGTTCTACCTACTATAGCAGGTATCAGAATTATTTTTCATGGCTTTATAATATTCCATTCTATGTATGTGTCCCATTATGTATTTGTCTGCGGATGCACACTTGAATTGCTTCTACACTTTTGCTATTGCATATAATACTTCTGTAAACATTAGTGTACAAATAGCTCTACAGACCCTTATTTTCCATGTGTTTTTGTGGGTGTTGACCTAGACATAGAATTGCCAGATCGTATAATTACTTCTCTTTAATTTCATGAGGAACTACTGAGTTGTTTTTCATTGTGGCTATACCATTTAACGTTCCAACCAGCAATGCCCAAGGGTTCCAATTTCTCCACGTCCTCACCAACACTGGTTCTTTTCGGTTTTATGGTGGTTTTTTGTTGTTTTTTTTTTTTTGTTTTGTTTTTTTTTTTTAATAATTGCCAATCTTTAGGAAGTGAAATGGTATCTTTTTTTAGTTTCAATTTTCATTTCCCTAATGATTAATGATGAACATCTTCAAATGTGCTTATTGGCCATATATATGACTTCTAGGGGGGTTGTTTTTTCTCTATTCATGAAAAATCAAGTGTATGTGAGAAAGGGGAGAGAGAGAGAAAGAGAGAGAGGAACACTCTCCATAGGGTCTAGTCACGCTGCAGTCCTCTTCCTCCTGTCCTTCAGTTCATTGCACTCTGGGCATGCATGCGCTTGCCTGCATGTTTCAGGCTGACCAGGCCAAGGACTTGGACTGTGGTTCCCTGTGGGAGCTGGCTTCTCCTGAGCAGCGCTGTACTGCTAGGCTACAGAACTGGTCCCGATCTTGAGCTTTTTTTTTTATTTAATTACTTTATTTAGTTTTATTTATTATTATTATTATTATTATTATTTAATTTGACTAGAGAAAGACAGAGAGAGAGCAACAGAGAGAAAGTGAGAAAACAAGATGCCAGGTCCAAGACTCGAACCACCGTCAGCCATGTGAGAGTTCAGCATCTTTCATCACCACACCACCTGCTGGTCTCCGGATCTTGATTTTTAATTACACAAACGTGAGATGACATACTTGTGTAATTAAACCAAGCCAAACTCTGAATGTGGGTTTAGAGATCATTTTGTTTGTTTCCGAAATCAGTATAAATCTAAATTAGGCAGAAGCTTCTTGTATATGATTCATTTAGGTTTAAAAGCCACAAGTAACACACTTAAAATATGTTGTCATGATGAATCAGTAAAAATGATGTTTTAGAAAGATAGATTTTTGCTGTCTACTCTGTTCTATAACAAGCTTTTTTGGGATCCAGCCTTGGCTCACTTCAGTTACCAAAAGTAACACTGGTCTTCTGTCTTATCTCTTCACTGACGTTTTCATCCTGTCAGAATTTAGAATATTTTTTTAAAAATCAGGGAGAAAACTGTATCACATTTTTTATTAGGAAGTATCTAATTCTATCACTAACTGATACATCGGTGAATGGTGGAGCTTTTAGTTTGATGACAAACTATTCATTTAAAATGGCATGAAATACAATGTTTCCAGCAGCTGCATCTCCAATTACTGACATTTCCCACGCTGCAGTTCGGGGTTGACTATGGAATCAGAAACTGCTTCAAAATGCTCTTAATTCATGTTTTCCTTCTAGAAAAATTAAAAATATAGGTTTGGAGTTTCATATTGTGCTTAAATAAAAGATCTACTAACTTTTTCTATTTTAAGAAAGAACTCCATCGTCACAAAATAAGTATTCGTCTTCTGACCAATGAACTAGATTTTCTTTGTCTAGCAAGAGGACCCTTCAGAAGAGGAAGAGGGAGTTGGCTCCGTGGTTTGGTAGTCAAGGGAGGGGGATCCTTGGGGCCAGCAGGTGGCATGGTGGTTGGGGCTCTGCACTCCCACATGACTGACCATGGTTTGAGTCCTAGACCTGGCAGCTTACTTTCTCACTTTCTTCTCTCTCTCTCAGGTCAAATTTAAAAAATGATAATAAACGAAGTTAAATACAATAATTCTTTAAATAAATAAAAAAAAAAAGGAGCAGAGTTCTACATGACTAGCCATGGTTCAAAATCCTGGTCCCGGTGGCTTGAAAAATTCTCTGGCTGCATGTGCATGTTCGAATCCTGACATGATGGAGAAGTGGAGAAGGGATTGTGGATGACCGGGCTGCCTTGGGAGGCACTTCTTTCTATCTCTCTCCTGTCTGTATGTCTCCTACTATGCACACACGTGCTTTCTGCCAAATTTAAAAGAGAGAGAGAGAGCAAGAGAGAGGACCACCATGGTGGAGCTGGGTAGCAAGGCTTTATTGCAAATCCTTTGCCACCATTTTTACTTGCTTTCTAGATAACTTTCTACAAAGTGTTTCTAGAACTTTCTCCCAGCCTTAATGAGATTGCCCCTTAGGATAGGCTTCTCTTTTATTTTTCTTCTGTTTCAAGAAGCAAAGCACCATGTGACTTGTTTCTTCTGAAGCTTTCAAAAAAAATGTGTATATATATATATATATATGTATACATATATATATACACATACACATATAAAAGACCCTAAGAACTGAATATTAAGAATGAGGATCAACTTCAATTCTTAAGTAAAAGTGTCCACCACAAAATTGTTCTTTTAGCAGCTGCAACTTTAGTGGAGGTTGTTTTCGGGGAGGGCCTCCGACTCAGCTGCTTCTAGGGAGACCTCGTCTTGCAGCCCAGGTACTGACGGGCAGCCTGGCCCCCGTGCAGCCCCTGTGCGCAGGCGTCCAGGCGGTTTCACTTCTCCCCTTGCCAGCAGGCCAGGCCCAGCTCCTCAGGTTCTCCCTGGCCCGCTCTCCTCCCCCTCCTCAGCACCCCTCTCCCACATGCATCCCTTTCTCCCCTCCTCTGTGTCTGCCCTTCTCAGAAGTTAGCTTACAAAGCAAAGTTGTAACTTTGAATTCCTGTTTTTCCAACCACCCTCATGTGACAGGATATCTCCTTATTGGAGGTTTTCACTAAATTCAGGAGCCCTTTAAAAGGGAGAGCTTCCCCGGGGCTGCTTTTCAGGGCCATTGGGAAGGGATGAGGTGAGGGGCAGCAGGTGCCCTGAATTGTCACGGTTCTTTTCACACCCTCTTCTCCATCAGTGAAGGAAAGGATCAACTCTGGACCATGACGCCGTCCCTGTCCCTGCTCCTGCTTGTCGTCTCTGTCATTCCAGCTGCAGTTCAGCTGCTGGGTAAGTCTGCATGGGGGGGTGTTCTTACTTGGGGGTCTAGGGCACTCCTTTATGGAGGCAGTTCATGTTAAGGATTCCGTTTAACAGCGCTGTGAAGGGGCACAGCTAGCTCCTCTCCTCTGGAGAAACTTTGCCTCCACCTGGATGCCAGGCACAGGAGTTGAGAAGCTGGAGAAGGGGGTGGCGTCTCGGGTCTCAGGTTTGCCTGGTCCTGAGTCCCAGGAACCTCAGGCCTCTCACATCCTGTTGTCCCACCCCTGTTTTATTTGTGCAGGGCTCTCCCGTCTGTGGTTCTCTCATTCTCGTTTTTAAACTCATGATATTTCTATCTAATCCCAGCCAATATTTTCTAAATGTCTTTGGCCAAAGGAGGGCAGTTCTTTTTATCTCTCCTCATCCTAGATAAAAGAGAAAGATCTCAGATCCCCTCCCCTGCAAAGGAATTCCGTGCGATTTCCACACCTTTTTTTTTTTTTTCTGTGAACCATTTTAATGTTCACAGTCGTCATCGCTAGAAAGTTCATCCCAATCTGCCCTCTCACCATTCAAATGGCCGCAGAGGCAGATTTCTCCCTTTCTTCTTCTTTTACTGAGGACTGGTGATTGCTCACCAGAATCAGATTCTGTTTTTCAGATTCTCAAAGCCATGATCGAATCTGTCTCTTCATTTCTCTGCACTCCATTTGCTTAGACTTTCGAACGAGTGCCTGGAAGAATTTTCCTTTCCAGTTCTATTTTGAGATAGTGTAGAAAGGATTTCAACTTTGATTTATTTATGTATTCTTCGTGTCCTATCCTTTTTCATTTCTATCAAATCAGTAGCCACTCACCGAGGACGATTTTGGCCAAGGCCACTTCTCTGTGCACAGCTGCAGCGGTGGGGACAGGAAGCTTCCTAGGAAGAGTCTTTGTGGCCACAGCAAGAGGCGGGCAGTAGTGCTTACAAAGGCACAGCAAGGGCAGCAGGCTTTGCACCCTGCCTCTGCCACTCACCAGCTGTGGACCTTGGCGTGTCTACAGGATGGGGAAGGCAATGTTCTCTACCCCTTCGGTCGTTGTGATGTTCCATGAGCTGCACTATGTAAAATATTTAGAACAGAGCATGTCAGAGTAAGTGCTTCGTAAGTGTTAGGGGTGAAATGTACTGATTTTCCCTCCGAAGTGATAGTCACTGATTGGCCAATAATAGCCGTCTAGGAAACATTTAAAGGAGCGTTTCCCCAAGAAACAATGCTAGGCGAAGGTTCCCGGAACTCGAGGAGATATATCGTTCCTAGTCTTGGCTATAATGCACTTATCTCAAATTCTTTCTTTCTTCCTTTCTTTTTTGTTAAGAATCATATGGGGACCAGCAGTTGGTGTAATGGCTATGTCGCTGGACTCCCACGTAGTCAACCACAGTTCGCGTCCCGGACCCTGTGGCTTAAAACTCATGCCGGGCGCGTGTGCGTGCGTGCCCAAGATCCCGAGAGGAGAATGGAGGCGAAGGGATTGCGGCATGACCATCCCCCCTGGGGGGTGATTTCTCGCTTTCTGTCTCTATGTCTCTGTCTGTCTGGCGAGCGCACGCGCCCTATAGCGAAAGCCTCTCAAAAAAAAAAATCATTTATTTAATTTTATTTATTATTGTCGTTTAATTTGCTATAGGACACATGTGCTCACCAGAGGGACATGGGGGTGGGGGCAGTGAGAGCAAACTGCCAGGTCCAGGACTCAAACTGCAGTTGGTCATGTGGGAGTCCAGCGCCTCAATCACGCCACCTGCTGGCCCTATTTTTTTTTCAAATTTTTAAGGGTGCTAGAGAAGGAACTGCTTAATCCTGGCAAGAAGAGGTGGAGTGTAAAGGGAGGGTGAGATATTATCATAATCTTCAACCTGTCTCAAGATATCTGTCTTGTGCGAGAGGATTGAAAGATCCATCAGGCCCCAAAGACAGAAAGTAAGACTGGTGAAAATCTGGGCCAGCAGGTGGCATGGTGGTTAAAGTGCCGGACTCCTACATGGGCAACTGTGGTTTGAGTCCTGGACTTATGGCTTGCTTTTTCACTTTCCTTCTCTCTCTCTCTGGTCAAATTAAAGAATAATAATAAATAAATAAGGACCAGCAGATGGCATAATGGATAAGTTGCTGGACTCCCATGTAGTTGACTGAGCCGTTCAAGTGCCGGACCCGGTGGCTTAAACTCACACTGGGCGCGTGTGTGTGTGTGCCCAAGATCCTGAGAGGAGAATGAAGGAGAAGGGATTGCGGCATGGCCATTCCCCCGGGGGGTGATTTCTCACTTTCTGTCTTTGTCTCTCTCTTTCTGGCAAGCGCACACGCCCTATAGCAAAAAACCTCTCAAATAAATAAATAAATAAATAAATAAATAAAAGTAATTTTATTTTTTTAAAAAGTTGCTGAAAATCTAAGGGTTGTACTGTCTCTGGTAACGTTCTGCTTAGGAATAGAAAAATCTTTTGTCTCTGAAGGTCTTCAGACAGAAGCTGGATCAAGAGCTATTTACAAAACCCGGATTCTATAACCTAGCACAGTCCAACACAGACATAATTAGCCACAGTATGTAGCCACATTAACAGAAACCCAAATGAGGACTGGGCCTATAGCCTAGTGGTTAAAGGAGATGGATACCACATAGTCAGTAGCAGTTCAAATCCCAGCCCCAACAGCTTGAGAACCACAGCGGGTGAGTGTGTGTGCTTGGCCCAAATCCTGACAGGATGGAAAGATGGAGAAGGGATTGGGGCGTGACCACAGTCCTCTCTTTCTTCCTCTGTGGTGAGCATACTTGCCCTCTGGGTAATTAAAAAACAAAAACAAAAGCAAACTTAAATGAAATAGCTGAAATTGGTTTTGCTAGTATCTTTTAACTAATATATAAGAAATGTTACAGCTAACAGATAATATAAAAATCATTATTATTATTATTTTTTAAATTTGCTATAAGGTATGTGCTCTTTCTGGAGAGAGATAAGAGAGAGGGAGAGTAAGACAGCATTCTCCAGGCAGTATGGGCACACTACAGCTCCTTCTCTTGCATTCTCTTGGGCTTTGGGGCACGCGTGCACATGCACTGAGTGTGATTTTCAAGCCCTGAGATCTGGGACTTGAACCTTGGAGTTGGTCACAGGAGATCCAGCTGCCATAACCACCATGCCACTGACTGGCCCCCCAGTTATTGGAGTGCTTTTACTTTTTTAAAAAAATGATCAGATAGGGACCAACAGTCAACATAATGGCTATGTCGCTGGACTCCCATGTAGTCGACCACGGTTCGAGTCCTGGACCTGGCGGCTTAAACTCACGCGGGGCGTGTGTGCCTGCATGCCCAAGATCCTGAGAGGAGAATGGAGGAGAAGGGATTGTGGCGTGGCCATCCCCCCTGGGGTGTGATTTCTCGCTTTCTGTCTCTCTGTCTCTCTCTGTCTTTCTGGTGAGTGCATGCGCCCTTTAGCAAAAACCTCTCCAAAAAAAGAAAAAAAAAATCAGATAGTACACATGCTTGCAAGAGAGAGAGAAGGCACCATTCAATGAGGCATGGTTATGCTGCAGTCCCTTCTCCATGTTTCCATCTTGTCAGGATTTTGGGCCTTTACATGTGCACATGGACCTGGAGTGTTTTTCAACCTTCTGGGGCCAGAACTCGAACCACAGGCAGTCACGTAGGAGCTGGCTCCCGATGCACAGGGCTAATAATCCCTTGTACTATGGGACTGGTCCACGTTCATCTGTAAAAACTGAGTGCCCAAAGTCTGGTGGGTGTTGTATACGTACCCCCATCTCAATTCACACTGCATTCTACATTTACAGGGGTCACATGAGGTTACTCACTACCCCACTGCGCCACACGGATGCAGCCCCTAATTTCTCACAACTGACTCAATGCTTTTGAGCAACGAGTGTTTCTCCATTCGCTCAGGAACATTTCTCTCCCTGAGACAGCGGGTACCTTACTCTGACTAATGTCTTCCTCTTCGTAGGCTCAGATACTGGGAAAAGGGGAGGGTGCTGATGATCCACGATGTAGAGAACAAAAAATAAGCAAAAACAACAAAAAAACAACCAACCAAACAAAAACAGGCAAGGGAGGTCCTTCCAGAATTTTTCTTTATAAACTTGAAGGCCTATACTTTTTTTTTTTTAGAGATTTTTTTTTGCTATAGGGCACGTCACTTGCCAGAGAGACAGAGAAACAGAAAGCAAGAAATCACTCCCTGGGGGAATGGCTACACTATAATCTCTTCTTCTCCAGTCTTCTCTCAGGATTTTTGGCATGCATGTACATGCGCCTGGCATGAATTTTAGGCCCCTGGGTCTGGGTCTCGAACTGAGGTCGACTATGTGACATAACCATTATGCCATCCTCTGTTCTCAAGGGCCTATACTTTTTATTTTATCTCTCTTGGCCAAAGGAGATCCCCAAGAGTGCTCGAACAAAGGAGTCTGGGTAACTTGCTTAGTTAGCTGCAAATGAAAGGATAGGCAAGTTCTTTGAACCACCATCCCTGGCTTCCTACCCATTAAGAAAACCCACAGGAAGGTCTCCCTCCTTCCTAGTAATTTCTTTCTTTTCCATGCAGAATGCTTTCTTCCACTTCTGAGAGAACACCTGTCACCATTGGCAGTGTACACAGCAGTAGGCTGATGGCAATGGACAGGTTAGTTGCCCTTGAGTCTAGGGAGCTGAAGGTTCAGAGGGAGTCTCGTCTGTTGTACTCTTCTTATTGTCCTGCCATCTTTCTGGCACTTGGCACCAACGTTTTGTCATCAGTGGGCAGTGACCCAGTGAAACTTGGCAGGACACAGAGGTTGGACCACAGCGGAGGTTAGCTTCGACATGGGAGGACTTGGGCATAGGCAGTGGTGTACTGATAAATTCAACAACTGGTTTGTACAAGAAAAAGAAATAGCACTAATTTCATTGTTGACATCGACTGATTTCCATGGTGTAATGCTTTCCACCGTGGTGGATCTCAGTGATTAACCTGATGCTGCTAG